CTACTAGGTTCAATTTGTTCAGTTATTAATAACAATAGGACGTAAAAAATATCAGAGTTGATTAATCCCTAGGGAGTGCGCCATGCATTAGATTTCACTAAGTATTGTAGTGAAGACCGGACGCATATATGATCTACACAGTAACTTGTGATTGCATACCAATATATCAGCTACATTGTTCTTATTTCCTAATCAAGTCTGATACAATTTGTTGACTCAAAGAGGTGGCAAGCACAATCAACCGATGTTAGGAATTCAACCAAAGACTACGTACGTGTCTCAGGGCACCTTTGAACACTCTGCGCTACACCAGTTTTCTTCTTTTAACTCAAACACCTTATACAAAGCGTTACAGCTGTAGCATCTTCGAGGAGTTTTCTAACTGACTTAAATGTCCTCTACACTAAAATGTCACCCATGTGAAATCAATAAATAATAAGCAGGTTAGAGGAATAAAAAATTTGGGAGTGAGATAGAAACCTCGACCGCTCATTTTAGTAGGGTTTAGAGAAGATTAGAGAACAAAAACGATTCTATGAATCGCATTGATGTGGTCAGCGCGTTGCCGACGCATAATTGTCCGGTCCATCGCCTTATGAAGTGCTACCATCTGGAACGCGATAAATCAAACAGCGCTGAATAATACACAATAACGTCAAGAATAGCGCATCGAGGCTAGACGTCCTGTTTCATAGACCCCAAGGATTACTTTGTTTCCTCTTTTAACATCTTTCAAATTGGCTCATGTTTCATTCCACTTATTCTTATTATAGCATAATTTGTATCACAGTGTGCGAAACCCATCACTTCCTGAATTCGATTTGCTTCCTTGCATTCACCATCCACGAAAGTCTTCGAACACTTTTTGTGCGTGTGTTTTGGCTGCTGCTTGAGGGTTTCCGCTTTCATGGTGGTGAATGTCGTTGAATGGTGAGCGAGTCGAATCTCGAGCATTGCTGATGCGTTCCCACGTGAATTGCAGGTAGTCGAACTAGCGCTTGGGTAAGTTGAACCATCCGCATGATGAGTGGGGTCACTACTACTGTGCTACCCGCTGCCATAATTAGTACATATAAACTTAACATATCTAGAATGGCTGCTGTAATCTCTTTTCCTGATTTTTTCCCGGATCGGAACTTCTTCTCCAACGGGTCAGATTTCTTAATCGAAGCCTAGAATGAAGAAATATCCTCTTTGTGCTCCGCAACAGGGTTCAATCGGACATTATTGGAGCACTGTCGAGATACGGACAACTAAAGGGAAAATGTAATGATACGAGTGGATGCGGTCTGGCCTGGTATATTGTGTGAGGGTTTTCTTTGATGTCTCATCATATGTTCTCTCGAATATTAAGTCATTCGTATCTACGTTTTATGCACGCTTCAATTTACAGTTAAAATTTAAAAAATAGTAAAAAACTAAATATAAACGTAAGTAATGGAAACAAGCTTGAATTTCTTATAAATGGCACATAATGTTGATAACGCAGTGGTAGAAATACCGTTCAAAAACGGACACAAGGTCCTGGCTTGCCCTACTCCATGCCAATCAAGCCTTCCATGGCTTGGGGATCAGCAAGTTATTATCAAACATGTTTGGAAAGCTCAATTCGAGCTACAACGACTGGTGAGTGTTTGTAGTAACCTGGGACGCCCTATCACAGCTATTCAAAGATTCCGAGGAGATTATTCTCATCAAGCATCCAACGACATTTATGAAGAAGACAGAAAATCTTAGCAACCGAGCCCATATCAAATCCAAAGGTCTTCGAAGTCTTAAGATATGGAAGTAAACGAATTGAATGAGCTAATACCCACCCAATAACTGGTGGGTCATGTGAAATGAGAAACTTTGAAACTAACTCTTGTATTACAATGATATGGTTAGATGAAAATTCACTATAAAATAACAATCAAAGTTTGACACAATGAATACCGCTCACCTCAGTCACCACCATATGAGATTGTGACTGTTTTTCTGACGCGTCGCATAACCCATGTGGACCCCATTGTCTCACGCAGTGGCCCTCTTATGACCCATATACCGTTTTTTTATTTCACATTAAGCATACTTAATGGTTTCTGCCACTTGTTGTTTTTTTCTCCGCATCGCTACAGAGCAAAACTTTCGCATTTTATTGTATCTATACGGATTTAGCCTACGGTTCCATCAGTTCGCCGACTAATCGCAGGAAATACTGCCACGCTTTAATAATTCCAGTCATAAACTCAACGACTACCATGGCCAAAAATCATATCAGAGCCTTTCTATGTATTATAAAGAACAGTACTTCTCCACTATCACTAGCATACTGCAGCTGGCAGTGTCTTCTCCTCTCGATTATTGTCATGCTTGAACACTTCAGCACACAAGTTCCATTAGCTTTAAATTCCAATGTGTGAATCTTGCAATGTATTAGCTTTTATTTACTGCCTATTCTTTTGTCATCTCAAGCTACGATGTGAAGTATAGCCACAAGGATGCTGACGTATGAGCAAAACTCGAAACGCGAGTTTGGCTTCAAGTCCGCGCTTACCTTTACCGAGCTGTAAGCTCAACTGCACCTTTAGCTTTACTCAGTTCTATTCCGATTATGTTTCCCAGATCACTTCCGTTGACCGGTGATTGCTGATCTCACTGTTAAGTACAAAACTTGCTGAGAGAAAGGCAAAGCAAAAAACCCTGTTGGCGGTACGATAGCGTACGTGAGTCTCCGGTAAGAGTGGTCGCGAATGCAAATCCCATCTGAGGTTCTGAGTTTTACTCATGTTTCAGCATCGTTACAATTGTACATTTCAAACTCTTATTTTCGAGGGGAGAGAAAAAACTCATTCACTATGTAAAAGTATTGGGGTTAGCAATTGCTGGTGCATTTTGCAAAACATATGAACTAAATACCGGTACCTCCTACATACTTCATCCCATGAGGCCTTTCGTCCGCGAAATGAACTCATAGAAAAAAGTCCTTAGTTACTTTTTTTACAAATCACAGGCTGTACAGAATACATTCCCAGAAAAAATACCGAGCACTAAAATCTACGTCAGATAAGCAATCGACTGTTTACAAGTCTAACAAAGAACCTCCTTAGAGTAAAATAAAGATCCGCAGAGAAATGAGTAAATATCCACTCACGCCGATCATTGCATCGATCCATGTATGAGTAGAAATTCCTTCATCCAGTTCTCAAAGTGCTAGCCTTAACTCTGCATAAATGAGGGGTCGGTGGTCCTTACTTCTATTTATGCTTCAATACGAACACCGAACAGCACTTAGAGTATCAATGCGAATTGTACCACGTACTATAACTCGTATGAAATGCTGAGATATTTGCAAAACTTCGGACCACAGGTCTATGCAGTGGAGAACGAACACGCGCTGTTGTCCTTACCGGGGAGCAGCGCACTTCACCACTACACCATCCGGGTCCTTCGCTTTGCATGTCTCTCAGCTAGTTCTATCGATCTTTTTGCCATCAGCA